TCCATTTCGAACTGCTGCTAATTGATAAGTGGATATCTTTTTGTTTTAGAAAATTCCATGGCATCGCAGATTATTGAAAAAGATGCGGGTTTTATTTTCCAATTTTCCGTCTTTATTATGCAAAAAATTGAAAACTAATACGGTTGATTGACGTAAAAAATTTTTTTCTACAAAAAACCTTAATACATTTTTGCTCTAAAATAATTTGGGGAGCCAATAATCGCATGTTATGAATTTTACATTGAAATCCCTATGATGCGTTACGCAAGTCACCACCCTGTATATAATATAATAAGATATTTTAAAAAAATCAAAATCCGTTTCGGTAATTCGGAGGGGGAATCACAATGACATAGTTGGCGACGCACCCCCTCCAACCCCCTGTGCCCCAGCCACCCCAACTTTTAAATCTTAAATAGTGACCCCCATGTGTGATACGTCGTTGGAAAGCTCTGAAAAAGTGCTTTCCAACCATACCAAATAGCATTACATTTCGGTTAGTAATTGTCGTGCAAATCAAAAAATAAACATGGAAAATCGTATTTAACTTGAACTTCCAAAGCCGACTCGACAGCAACTCATTTTTGATCGCCAGTGATAATCTATTCTCAAACTCTTGTCGAACCTTTCCAATGTTGGTTTTGCAATATTTCGACATTCTTGAATTATTCTCTGTCTTAGTTCGTCTAATGTTCGCCGGTTGCGTTTTAAATACGACAGATTTCAAATGTATCATATTAGTTTATTTTTTGATTTGCACGATAATTACTAAATGTAATGCTATTTGGTATGGCTGGAAAGCATTTTTTCAGAGCTTTCCAACGACATATCACACATGGGGGGTCACTATTTAAGATTTAAAAGTTGGGGTGGCTGGGGCGCAGGGGGTTGGAGGGGGTGCGTCGCCAACTATGTCATTGTGATTCCCCCTCCGAATTACCGAAACGGATTTTGATTTTTTTAAATATCTCGTTTATTTACTAAGATATGGGGGGTGGTAAGTTTTCAAATTGTCACCCTGTATATTATATAAGTACTTATGCCGAAAAGCTGGTGGTATAGGGAACAAATCAAATATTTTTTACAAATAAACTAATGGTTTGCAAAAAAGTTGCGAAATTTGTATTTCTAATTGCAGATTCGTGATTTTTGTACTCAAAAACCCCAAATACCAAATTTAGAAAAATCGAAAAGGGCGTACCTAAAAACCTATCCAAAGACGTGGCACCCGTATTTCTAGTGTTATGGTTGGGTACTGAAAAAAAAACTAAACAAATCATGCTAGACCATTGTTTTATTTGAAGAAAGTGTTTGTTTTGATCCCATATACTGCCCATTTTTTTTCTATATAAACTATACACATATTTTAATACTTCATAAATCATAAACTCACCAGAACTACAACCTGCAGATGCGACCAGTGAAGTTCGCCTTTCCCTACAAGGTCTTATAGAACCTAGAGGACATTATATTTTAAGTAGCACTAATAATACAAAATAAGACAAACTTACGAGGCGATTCAAAATCTGAGTCATTTTGATCAGTATCTGTGAATACCGGGGAATTTATCTCACTTTCAATATTCGGTAGGTTATTCGGAAAATCGTGGTTTGGAATTATAATCAGCATACCATTTCCAAGTTGCTGTTCAAGTTCGCAACCAGTATATCTTGCTGATAATTGCAAGTGTATTAACATTTTCTGCCTGTCACACTTGGCCACTTTGAAGTCAGACATTCTTAATAAATCCCGAACATTTTTGGGAAAGGCATTTACAATTTCTTCCTTAATTCGGAGAGAAGTCCAGCTCCTCTTAATAGAAACTGGTGCACTCTGACCTATACAGGGTGACAATTTGAAAACTTACCACCCCCCCATATCTTAGTAAATAAACGAGATATTTAAAAAAATCAAAATCCGTTTCGGTAATTCGGAGGGGGAATCACAATGAAATAGTTGGCGACCCACCCCCTCCAACCCCCTGCGCTCCAGCCACCCCAACTTTTAAATCTTAAATAGTGACCCCCCATGTGTGATACGTCGTTGGAAAGCTCTGAAAAAATGCTTTTCAACCATACCAAATAGCATTACATTTAGGTTAGTAATTATCGTGCAAATCAAAAAATAAACTAATATGATACATTTGAAATCTATCGTATTTAAAACGCAACCGGCGAACATAGACGAACTAAGACAGAGAATAATTCAAGAATGTCGAAATATTGCAAAACCAACATTTGAAAAGGTTCGACAAGAGTTTGAGAATAGATTATAACTGGCGATCAAAAATGAGTTGCTGTCGAGTCGGCTTTGGAAGTTCAAGTTAAATACGATTTTCCATGTTTATTTTTTGATTTGCACGATAATTACTAACCTAAATGTAATGCTATTTGGTATGGTTGGAAAGCATTTTTTCAGAGCTTTCCAATGACGTATCACACATGGGGAGTCCCTATTTAAGATTTAAAAGTTGGGGTGGCTAGGGCGCAGGGGGTGTGAGGGGGTGCGTCGCCAACTATGTCATTGTGATTCCCCCTCGGAATTACCGAAACGGATTTTGATTTTTTTAAATATCTCGTTTATTTACTAAGATATGGGGGGTGGTAAGTTTTCAAATTGTCACCCTGTATAAGAAAAACAATAGATATAGTAGTATGAACTTAACAATTTTTCTAACTAGTGGAGCGAAATGTGGGTAAAAAGTCGTTCGTCTAGAAATGGGGAACAAAAATTTGAGGAATAACACGATCAGGCCTAGTAGAGCATGTACATATTGTTATTCTGCATCCGAAATGGTGGTTTACGACATTTTCTTGTGGTCATGACATTATAGCCAAAAAACCACCAAAGAGTGCTTTAATAAAAATTTTTGTTTTTCGAGATTTACACCGGGACATCTCCGCTTCCGCATAGGATATTTTTATAATTCTTTCTGATCTACAATGCCAAATAGTAAGCTATTCTTGTTATGCATATTACAACGAAACGGTGATAAACAACATTGAAAGAATTGGTATCAAAGTCGGTAGATCAATTTTTGTGCAGCGTAAATTTTACTCTGTGACAAAATTGTAGCTGATATAGTCCCTAAAAGTTTTCGGTGAAACAATTTTAGTGATAGGTCTTAACGTTTTCGAGTAAATGATATTGTTGTTATGCAGCTCGTGTGCGTCCGAGGTCCGTCCAGCAGAGCATTTGTTCGACCTAATGTGTAACGTTTGTAATTATGCATATTATATTGAAAACATAATATTACATTAGCAGAAATATTATGAAAGTCCATAAATCAATTATTATTGTGGAATTTGTTTATTATTGATAGTTCGTTTACCATCTGCACGATAACAAAGGAGATAATGCATTGCGGGAAGTAAATGACAAACCATTTTTTATTTTTACAAAATTACACGTTTTGAAGCAGCAGGAATCCGAATTAAACAAAACTGGATGATGTCGGTCTGTCTTTTTGTCTGTACACTCATTTCCGGCTAAACGTATTGGAACCAAATTTGTTACATATATTCTTAGACTTAGGCAAATATGTACATACTTAGTGTGTCAAAGTAACAAAAAACTAAAAACTGAAAGACATTTCGTCAAAATCGTGCGGGTGGTGTCTGTGATTGCCACAGAAAATTTTTTTTATTAATACTTCGAATTCTATACGTAGCATGGAAAACCTTCGTCGTCCTCTTCCATACCGCTGAATTTATTATGGCACTCCTTGCATTTGCATTTGTTGATGCATTAAGACCGTCAGCATTTTTTACTATTACAGTTTCCGTCAGCACAATGTAAACTAAGAAACTTCCCGACAACAGTCGGGACGGCTTCCAAGGTGGAATGGACACGTATCCAAATATTGTTTTCCAAGAACCATCCAAAGTCTACCATGTTATGAATGGTGGTTTGCATTGCTTGCTGCGGTTTCACACGTTTAATTGGTATATGCATTTAAAATTTTAATAAATGCACCGTTGACAAAACGCATTTAATGTGTATGCTGCAAGAATGCACCATTAGTTGGCGGAAGTTTTGACATTGATTATTAGTAGTCTTTGCTAAATGCCATCTTAGTTTATTCAGTGTTGTAATATTTTTGTTTCATTTCCAGTAAACCAGTAGCATATATCAGGCTTCTTTTTGAGGCAGTTCAACTAGTTTGGACAGGTCTTTTAAAGTATGAATATTTGATGTTAGTACATCAACGGCAGTTTTCTTGCCTATTTAAAATAAGGCATTTTTGGGTCACAGCCCGTTAGAGCATGAATTCCCAAGAGACAAGAAGATATATCGGTTCTTAACCTCGTGACAATTTGATTTATGCCGACAAATCGACTATTCAAACCTTGCGTATGAATATATCCTTTACTCAGAAATGTTAAGACTATAACATCCATTTTTTTCACCAAATACTTTTGGGGACTTATAGAACCCGAAGTATTAATTTAAAAAAATTACTGTGACCAGCACAGATACCACCCGCACGATTTTGATAAAAATTTTTGTTACTTTGACACACTTAAGTTTGTACAATTCTGCCGTTTCACCGCTACCTTGTTTGTCTACGAATATGTGTAGCAAATTTGGTTCCAATCCGTTTAGCCGGAAATGATGGTATAGACAAACAGACAGACCGACATAATCCAGTTTTGTTTGATTCGGATTCCTGGTGCCTCAAAATATTTATTTTTGTTAAAAAATAAAAAATGGGTTGTCATTTCCTTCTCCCAATGCATTATCTCCTTTGTTATCTTGCGGGTGGTAAACGAACTATCAATAATAAAAAAATTCTCCACAGAGTGAATAATAATTAATTTATGGACTTTCATAATATTTCTGCTTATGTAATATTATGTTTTCAATATAATATGCATAATTACAAACGTTGTCCATTAGCTCGAACAAATGCGCTGCTTAACGGACCGCGGACGCTCACTAGCTGCATATAACAATATAATTTACTTGAAAACGTTAAGACCTATCACTAACATTTTCTCACCAAAAACTTTTGAGGACACTATCAGCTACAATTCATGCGATACATGTGTAGAGATTCCTCAAATAAAAAAGTTTCTCACAGAGTGAAATTTATACTGCACAAAAGAAATGAAGTCGTGGTTTACCTAATATTTTTAGGTCGGCTAATAAGCTTCTTTCGCGCTTAGTCAGCTTGTGAAATAAACGTGATTGTTGATCGGTGCGTTCGGTTTCGAGCTCGCGGAGTGGAGCGGGATCCGTTTAGATATTTCAGATTCGTCTGCGAGTAAACGAACGCTTTCTGCATATTTAGCGGTGTATGGAAACGTAATCAAAGTTTAAGGTTAGGTTACTTTTTGTTTATTTTTTCATTACACCTCTTCATTTAAAAATGGGAGATATTAAACTGAAAATTAATAATGGGGAAGAGATTACGCTTCAACTTCCGGATAAGGAATTTTTAACGAGCATTTACAAAGGTAATTAGACAATTAGGGAGTGACCATTACGCGAAAAGCTCGTTTTCGCCACCTTTACCAAATTTTCATCTATCAGTTATTCGTAATGCCTAATTTCATTTTTCAGATCCATCTATGTTAGTAAATGTTGCTCAAGAGTTTGTAACATATCCAGTAGAAACTGTCGAGATTGTAAAAGAATTTGAAGAAAATGGGAACAATGAGGCTGACCTACCTATGGAAGATCGAAGAATGTGGACAGATGATAGCACACGAATTTTAATTGAACTGTACCAGAAGTTCAATGAAGAATTTAATTCTGGAATAAAAAAATTTGTGTGGAATAAAATTGGAAGTCATATATCACAAGTTGTCGGAATGACAATTACAGGAGTGCAATGCGATACTAAGTGGAAAGGGTTGGTAAAACAATATAAAAGCATTAAAAAGCACAATGACACATCAGGAAATGATACAAAATATTGGAAGTTTTATGCATGCATGGATGAAATTTTGTTTAATAAGCCTGAAATAAATGCAGTAGCCACTTGCAGTAGTTCCAGAGGGTTGAAAGGTAATTCTGTGCATACCTCTTCATGTCTTTATACATAATTTTGTAGTTGCGCCAGAGTTCTTAGAGACCAACTTACAACATGAAACTACGAAGAACAACACACCTTCTCCATCTACATCTAGGTGCAGTACTCCTGTATCTAATAGGAATAAACCGTTGAAAAGGAAAGTAAGTGAAAACGCTTATGAAAGAAGACACAAAGAAAAATTGGAACGCCAGGACCGATTTTTAAATATATTTGAAAAACTTGTGGACAAATTGGGTACTGACGCAAATCACTGCAACAATTGTGTTGGTGATAAAGAAAATTAAAATGTAACCAAATGTTTTGAATTGTACGTTTTTCATTTTTTTATAGTAAGGGTTAATTTTAGTTTTTTTTTTTAAATAACTTAACATATTTTATTTGGTGAAAAAAGAATAAACAGTACAACAGCATACAATATTTTTATTCATCTAAAGGCAAATTTAATAAAATGTTTCTTCGTTTTTGCTCCGCATTATTGTCTACACCTTCATTAGCAACCATTTCATTTACATCATTCCTCTGTACTTCCCTAATTTCTTCATTAAGGTCAACTATATCGTCAGGTAGGTCATTACTTAAAAGACATACATTGTGCAAAATTGCTGCAGTGACAATAAATAATGAAATAAAATCTAACCTTACGGTTTCTATAAATTTCAACCTTCTAAAGCGGCCTTTAAGTAATGCAAATGCATTTTCGATTTCCACTCTGCAACTGTTTAATTTCTTATTAAAATTTATTTCTCGTCTGTTTATATTACCAAAATTTTTAAAACCGATTAGCATATTGGTTGATAATTTATAGGCAAGGTCACCTATTAAATGACCATTATTGTAAAAGGTCACTGATTGCGTTCTGATAAGTTCAGCCAAATCTGACTTCAGAAATAGATTGTAGTCATGAAGTGACCCCGGCTCCCCTGCATATATGTCGATGAATAATTTTTTTTCATTACAAACGCCTTGTAGTAAAACGGAGTGGAATTTTTTACGATTGACGTATGAATTGGGATGGTCTTTTGGAGCTATTATTTTCACATGGCATCCATCAATACAACCAATGATACCTACATCATAAGAAAATATTGCAAAAACATCTCGAGTAGAACAATACGAGTATCACCTGGTATAGAGATGCTTCTTTGGAAAGTTCTCATCGTTTCTAGAGCTTCATTTTCATAAGGCCATCGTATAATACCATACAATCTATTCACCTCTAATAATCTATGTGCAGTTCTTTGCAGGACATCCCAACATGTCGATTTACTTACATTGAATCTTGAAGCCACTGACCTAGTCAAAATGTTATTCCTCAATACACAATATTTTTTACCTGTACTTACCTGAAGCTTTCCATATTCGCTAAGTACCAAATGGTAATTAGTAATTGTTTATCTAAATTTAGTTCAGGATGACCATCAATGCGTTTGTGTTCTGATAATCTTACTCGATGTAAGTAACCCCAATAACTTGTCAAATGTAGCAGGCAGCAATCGAAAGTTTTGCTTGAAATAATATGATTGAAATCGAGGAACAATTTCTTCCACGAAATTTGGAACCTTTGGGATTGTATGTAGCTTTTCCCCATTTTCTTCGTCATCAGATTCATCATTAAAAAAAATTTCGTTCGAGAAATTAATTAAAAAAGGAAGGAGCTCGCGATTCATACCACGTACGTTCAAAACAAAATAACTTATTCTAACCCTACTTCCTTCAATCAGCTGTTTGAAATACGTGAGCTCGCTCAAAAATATCGGAGCAAACGGAGCGCGATCTTTCTGCTCTAGATCTAGTTATCGAACGATGCGCATCTGATCCTAGAGGTAGTTTCCGAACGATTTAGAGCAAAAAAATCGATCCGCGCTCGAAACCGAACGCACCAGATGTAACGCTTTATAGGCGCTCGGCGCGATATTATTATAGTTTCAGAGAAGTAAAAATATTAAGTGATTCGTGCTGTAGGTTTCCTTGCGACTGGAACGGTACGATATGGAAGATGTACCAGACTATGAAACAAGTTCCGAAAGTGAAAGTGAAGAGGCGATCACGAAAAGGAGGAAGAAGGTAGACAAGCAATGGGAAATGGAAAAAGTGTTCGAGAATAAGGCGTCTGCAGTAGCTGCAGTTCAGATGGAGCAGGTGTGGAGTTTTACTTATAAAAATGTGGACACAGAAGGAAATGTAAGTGAAATTTTTCGATGTAACAAAGTAAAAAAAAGAGCGGAGCAATGCGCTGCAGGTGTGTACCTACATTATCCCTCTACTACAAGTGAGGTCCATTTATACCGATCTCAACTAGCCCATACGTGTAATGTAATTGTTACAAGAGTAAAAAGTAAAATATCCAATGAGGTAAAAGAGGAAATCAAGTCTCTCTTTAATTTTGATTCAAAAATAAAACCAAAAAAGGTTCTTGATATATTAATTAAAAAGCAAATTGCATTACCAAGTAAGACTCAGCTCAATAATTACTTGTCTTCATTAAGAAAAGTAAAATATGGATCCAATGTTATGAGTCTTGGCGAGTTGGAAAATTTTTGTTTAGAAAATGCAAAAGTTCCTGATGATGTTGATGCGGCGTTTGTTGTTTCCTACCAAGTGGGATATGAAGAACAGCTGTTCTTTCGATTTTTTGTTTCCACTAAAAACTTGTCGAAATTGTCCTGTGACGCTCACCACATACATGCTGATGCGACATATACATTGGTGTGGCAAGGTTTCCCTGTATTATTATTGGGAACTACAGATCGAGACCGAATATTCATATTTTTGGACTAGCGGTTTGCAGCAAAGAACAAACCGAAGAGTTTGTATTTTTGTTTAAAGCAATAAAATCTGCCGACCAGGATATATTTCAAAAGTCAATTTGCCCAAAATACCTCGTTTGTGATGCCGCTAAAAGCATCCAGAATGCCTTCATAAATGTATTTGGATCGGATGTTACTATCATAATGTGTTGGGCACATATGAAAAAATGTGTCCAAAAGAAAGCCGAACAGGTTGTGCATCCGAAGGAGAAACGTAATGAAATATTAAAAGATATTGACTTATTGCAACTGAGCAATAGTAAGCATGTTTTTGAGAAGGCGTCTCATCAGTTTATTGCAAAATGGGAGGGCGAACAACAACAATTTATAGAATATTTCCAACACGAATGGTTAGACAGTAATCCAAACTGGTTTGAAGGCGTTTCAAAGTTGGTTCCGTCTACAAATAACGCCTTGGAGTAATTAAAGATGAGAACACTTTGCGCGAGAGATTGCCTTTATCTCGGTTCGTAGTGGTTCTCAAGGAATACATAAATACCTGGTCTCTTCAGTACACTGCAAATGCAAAAACAGTACATGCAGTTCCTACGCTAAACTTAGGTTAGTGGACCAAAGCTTCTCAGTGGGTTTGTGAAAAAAAGAAGATTGTCTCACATCGTATATCCGAAGGCTATGTTTATTTCATTCCTGCTGGCCAAAGTAATGAAGTCACAGATCTAGATTTAGATCTAGAGGAAACTCGAAATGTGAGTTTTTCCACTTTTGAAGAATTTAAAACGGCCGCGTTCAACATTTGGACTGCTACTCTTCCGAATGATTCAAACAAATGGATTGAAGGCACTTGCAATTGCCCAGGATTTTTCAAAAAATTAATTTGTAAGCATGTAGTGGGTGTTGCAATAAGAATGAAATACACAACACCACCCGCTGAAGCCAAATCTGTCCCCATTGGAGCTAAAAGGCTACGTGGCCGACCATCCAAAGCAAAGCAGGCACTCCTTGTACAATAGGGTAGGTATTTTGCACGTAATTAGTGTATATGGTTCAGGATAATTATTTTCAGATTATCACCACGATCTACTCGTACTTCATCATTACTTAACGGCATAGCGTTTTTCTCTATTACGTTGTATTTTTCTTCATATGTTTTTGTTTTGTGTTTACTTACATGAAATAAATATGACCATTTATTAGTTAACAGAGGGTTTATTAATTTGTACTGGCCGATTATTATTTTTATACAACGTTTCATATTTTACTGATCATTTATTTATTTAATTACCTATTTTTTGTCTTACTAACCGTTTATTAATTTCACTGACCATTTATTAATTCAACTGATTGTTTTTTAAAACCTTACTGCCCATTTATTATTTTCAATGACCATTTATTAATTTAACTGACTATTTTGTATCTTACTGCCCGTTTATTACTTTCGTCTACCATTTATTAAGTTAATAGGCAATTTTTAATCTTACTGACCGTTTATTATTTTCACCGACCATATATTACAATAATGACCATTTGAAAAAAATAATGGAAAAGTGTACTGTTCATAAAATGGAAATACTGATCATTTCATTTGTACCGTTTTTAATTGAGTCTATATATATTTGAATATCTAAGGTATTGATAAATACACAATTTAAAAATATCTCTAAGTTAATGAGGTTTCTTCCTTATTTGAATTTAAAATATCTATGAGATATTTTTAATTATTTAAAAATATCTCTAAGATATCGATAAAACCGAAATTATATTTTTTCCCGTTTATGTATACACGAATTAAAAATATCTCAGAGATAATTTAAATAACCTTGAAGCAAAAAGTGCAATTAAAAATATCTAAGATATTTGTAATTAATTAAAAATATCTCTAAGATATTTTTATTTGTTCATAATTCATTCTTCTAAATTCTTAAATACGGTTGCCATTAAAAAGTAAAACGGCGTTCCATAGTACAGTGTACTAGACGCAACGCTTTTTCCATCGCTAACAATTTATTTACCGAAAATAACACGAAAACGTGACGTTTTCTTAACGTCAAATCGTGACGTCTTCAATAACTCAAATTTTAAGCGGTTTTGCAACTGCTGCAGCTACAGATTTTAAATATACTCAAACACACGAAATTTTAAGAGAGTTTGAAGGCGTCACCTTAGCCGTTACGATTTCGTGGGACAATGTTACTTGGGATGTCCTGCTTTGGTTAAGTTTGCAGTGTATTCATCTGTCTTTAAAGATAGAAACTTGCAGTATACGTGACCTTTATCTTTAAAAGCGGTTAAAGTACACTGTAGTCTCAACCAAAAAAGGACACGCGGTACTGGGTGGTCCAAATTGTATTCTTATAGAAAATGTGTCTGGGAACTGAATTTTAAAGAGAAATTCACTGGCTCAAACAGAATTTCCTTTTTTATAATTATTTTATAAGATAAAATGTTTTCCATAAAAAAGTGTCCAATTTGGAACATCCTATACAATATACATGCATAATTGCTATATGCATCAGGCACATTTGATTAAATACTGGACAGGAAATATGGTTCAGCCTTCACAA